CCCAGGTACAGTGACCTGTGGTGAATGAGAATACTGCAAAGAAAATGGGCTGTAATTCAGTATTATGTGAAAGAATCAGGAGGAGATAGTGAATTTTATGTTGTTCTCTGTTTCCATATCACTAGATTAATATCTGAGGAAGGAGGTAAAAAAGCAAGATTCAGTAAACAGCACAGTGGAATTACAAGCAGTTACCAATTTTCAATATCACCCTTGGATGGATTCCACACCAGTTTGTGATCCAGTCAATGACATGGGTTCATTTAGGTAAAGTGGGAGCTCTTTTCCCTTTAAATGCATATAATAATTCACATCTAATATAGCAAGTTTCTCCCATTTAAATCTCAATGTATTTGTTGTATTTTTCCATCTCAATTTCTGGACAGAATCTAATTTGTATTTGACATGGCCTTTCCAAAATAATTGAAGGCATTTCCTGTTACTTTTCTCTTGGTCCTGGGGATTAAGCAGGGGACAACACAGGCTATACAAACACTCTACCCCTCATGCTAGAAACTTGTCCCTTTGCTCTTATATTGTTTTCTGATATGGTCTCATGAGGCCTTTGACATCTTGATCATCTACAATAGTGATTAGCCATGCATTTTTAACAAAAATGTTCTTCATTCTATGACTTAAATATTCATGGTAACAATGAACTCTAAGTGTCTAATTTTATCATTCTAAAATTTGGTTATTACTGATAACATTGTAAAGTTTATGATAACCATGCTACTTTCAGCATAATTTTCAATAAATTATAGCTACTTTGATCAGTGTTATTATTATTATCATCATGTCTTATATTAGTTCCTTTATTTTTTATTTTAAAATAAGTGATAAAGTTATTTCTTATCTGGAATGTTTTAGCTATACCAATACTAAACTTTTAATACAAGTTCTTTTTTTTAAAAAATGTATTTTATCCATATGTGCATACAATGTTTGGGTCATTTCTTCCCCCTTCCCCCTTCCTCCTCCTTTACTCCCCCCCGCCACTCCCTCCATTTCCTCCCCTTACCCCTCACTACCTGGCAGAAACTATTTTGCCCTTATCTCTAATTTTATTGAAAAGAGAGTATAAGCAATAATAGGAAGGACCAAGGGTTTTTGCTAGTTGAGAGAAGAATAGCTATACAGGGAGTTGCCTCACATTGATTTCCTCTGCATGTGTGTTACCTTCTAGGTTAATTCTTCTTGATCTAACATTTTCTCTAATTCCTGGTCCCCTTCTCCTATTGACCTCTGTCTCTTTAAAGTATCTGCTCTAGTTTTTCTGCGTTGAGGGCAACAAATGCTATCTAGTTTTTTAGGTGTCGTACCTATCCTCATACGTCCCTTGTGTGTTCTTGCTTTATCATGTGATTGAAGTACAAACCCTTTGTTGTGTTTGCCCTTGACCTAATATCCACATATGAGTGATCTCATATGTGGTCTTTTGGGTCAGGCTAACCTCACTCAGAATTATGTTCTCCAATTCCATCCATTTACCTATGAATGATAACATTTCGTTCTTCTTCATGACTGCATAAAATTCCATTGTGTATAAATACCACAGTTTCTTAATCCATTCATCAGGGGTGGGGCATCTGGGCTGTTTCTATAAGTTGGCTATTTTGAATAGTGCTGCAATAAACATGGGTGTGCAGGTGCCTCTGGTGTAACCTGTGTCACATTTTTTGGGTATATCCCCAACAGTGGTATTTCTGGATCTTATGGTAGAACAACGTTTAGCTTTTTAAGTAAAATCCAAATTTTTTTCCAGAGTGGTTGCACTAGTTTACATTCCCACCAGCAGTGTAAGAGGGTTCCTTTTTCCCTGCATCCTCGCCAACACTTGTTGTTAGTGGTTTGCTAATGATGACTATTCTAACAAGGGTGAGTTGGAATCTTAGTGTGGTTTTAACTTGCATTTCCTTTATTGCTAGAGATGGTGAGCATTTTTTCATGTTTTTTGGCCATTTGAATTTCTTCTTTTGATAAAGATCTGTTTAGTTCACTTGCCCATTTCTTTATTGGTTCATTAATTTTGGGAGAATTTAGTTTTTTAAGTTCCCTATATATTCTGGTTATCAGTCCTTTGATGTGTAGCTGGCAAATATTTTCTCCCACTCTGTGGGTGGTTTCTTCAGTTTAGAGACCATTTCTTTTGTTGAGCACTAGTTTTTTAGTTTTATGAAGTCCCACTTATCTATGCTGTTTCTTAGTTTCTGTGCTGCTGGGGTTCCATTGAGAAAGTTCTTGCTTATACCTATTAATTCCAGAGAATTTCCTACACGTTCCTGTACCAACTTTAGTGTTTGGGGTCTGATATTAAGATCCTTGATCCATTTTGAGTTAATATTGTTGTAGGGTGATATACATAAATCAAGTTTCGGTATTTTGAAGACTGCTAACCAGTTTTCCCAGCAGTTTTTGTTGAAAAGGCTGTCTTTTCTCCAACATATAGTTTTAGCACCCTTGTCAAAGACAAGTTGGTTATAGTTGTGTGGCTTCATATCTGAGTCTTCTGTTCCACTGGTCTTCATGTCTGCTTTTGTGCCAGTACCATGCTGTTTTTATTGTTATTGCTTTGCAATATAGTTTGACTGAGTATTGCCTTGGCTATTCGTGGCCTCTTGTGTTTCCATATAAATTTAATGGTAGATTTTTCAATTTCTTTAATGAATGTCATTGGAATTTTGATGTGAACTGCATTAAACATGTAGATTACTTTGGGAGTATAGATAGTTTTACTATGTTGATTCTACCAATCCATGAGCATGAGAGATCCCTCCACTTTCTATAGTCTTCCTCAATCTCTTTCTTCACAAGTTTATAGCTTTCCTTGCAGATGTTGTTCACATCCTTTGTTAAATTTACACCTAGGTGTTTGATTTTTTTGAGTCTATTGTAAATGGAATTGTTTTCATATATTCTTTCTCAGTTTGTTTGTTATTAGTGTGTAGAAATGCTAATGATTTTTCTATGTCGATTTTAAATCCTGCTACCTTGTTATACCTATTGATGGTGTCTAGGAGCTTTTGAGTAGAGTTTTTTGGGTCCTTAAGGTATAGGATCACATGTCTGCAAATAGGGATATTTTGACAGTTTCTTTACCTGGTTGTATTCCTTTTATTCCCTCTTCTTGACTAATTGCTATGGCTAGGAAGTCCAGTACTATGTTGAATAGGAGTGGAGATAGTGAGCATTCTTGTATACTTCCTGATTTTAGGGAGAATGTTTTCAGTTTTTCACCATTAAGTATAATGCTGGCTTTAGGTTTGTCTTATATAGTTTTTATAATGTTGAGGTAATTTCCTTCTATTCCTAGTTTTCTTAGAGCTTTTATCATGAAATGGTGTTGGTTCTTATCAAAGGCTTTTTCTGCATCTATTGAGATGATCAAGTGGTTTCTGTCTTTGTTTCTGTTAATGTGGTTTATTACATTTATTGATTTTGGTATGTTGAACCACACCTGCATTCCTGGGATGAAGCCTACTTGGTCATGATGAATGATCTTTTTGATGTGTTGTTGAATTCTGTTTGCCATTATTTTATTGAGGATTTTTGCATCAATGTTCATTAAGGAGATTGCCCTATAATTCTCATTTTTGGAAGTGTCCTTGCCTGGTTTTGGAATAAAAGTATACTGGCTTCAAAAAAGGTGTTAGGCAGTTTTCCTTCACTTTCTATTTTGTGGAACAGAAATCATCCCACTAAGTGTCCTTTTAAAAGTGAAATTATAGCCATAGGTTATTTGCTTACTTTATTTTATAAAATGTTGGTTCATTGTTCTTCAGTACAGCTATAGAAGTCAGTACTTCATTTTAGATCATGAAGAGTCGTCAGTTCACCTGTATCCTTTTAATCCATTAGAATAGTTTGATCCTTTTAACTTTGCCAACTGATACAAATCAGTTTTGTTTTAATTGTACTTTTTCTAGTAGCATACAAAGCTGATAATTCCTTGTTAAATGTGCCTATTGTGCAGTTGTGATGAATGGGAATATTCAGGAGCAGGGCCAGTGAAGGGTGTAGGAGACTTTTTGAGTGCAAGGTCATGGCTTGGTTGTAATGATAACTACTAAGGTTGAGAGTCAACACATATTAATCCTAAAAGATGAGATACATTCTGTACTCAGTGGGAGGCATAATGAAACTGTCTGAGAGTTCAAACTGTCTAGGACCTAGATATTTCCTGAAGTCAGACTGGACTTGGAGCATAATCCCTCAGAGTGAGACCTTCAGGCTTGACAAAAAGCAGAATTCCTATCAAAGGCCCATTATGAAGCTAACTGATGAAGGAGAGTGACAAAATGCAGGTCTGGTTTTGAAGATACATGTGTATGTTCCCAGTAGCAGGGGGAAGCTAATAAAGACTAGTTGTATGGATTTATAATTCATTCTCATATATACCTGTATTTCAACATGCAGCTCATATATGCTTCTTCATAATTTAAACAGTACTAATAAGATGTAACATCTATTATCATCTGTGGCACAAGCATAGTTGTAAGCCTACTGCTCCCGAGCACTTCCACATCCTCACTATTGGGGACATTTATTAATGCACTATCCCTTGATATGTAAAAGGGGTTTCTTCTGTTTAGTGCATGTGATCTATTTTCTAGTTTTATTATAAAGCTGCATATAAAACTTCAAGTTAATTTCATTTGGGTAAAGGATTTCTCTTGTCACTGTTCCTCATCATTTTCCATTCATTAAGCAGAGACAACATTTTGCTTCACAATCCCTGCAGGTTTTACCCCCCTGCAGTGCTGTGAGCATTGGTCTGGTCCTTGGACTGTAGTGATGTCATCAATAGGTCATAGAACACTGCTGAGGCCTCAGAGATAACTGTTATTTTGTCCTGAGCACTGGTCAGGACAGTCGTGAAGAGATAATTTCTCATGTGATTTGTTGTCTTTGTTCAAATTTCATTCTTTGTCATTTTTTACTACCTTTCTAAAGTATAGTTTCAATAACCTAATTCAAAGAACTCTCCAAAGAGTTGAACCATGAATCCAAAAGAAAAGAGAAAGTATCTGGAGAAAAGGTCCTCTTCTCATATTCTACAAAGAGCAAAGGAATCAAGAGGTGTGTGCCTGCGTTTTCTTTAGGCACAGGGAAGATTTCTAGTTTGTGGTAGTGGAGGGGAGGAAACAAAGATTTAAAGGAGAGAAGAAATGATTAAAAAAAGAAGGGATAGAGACAAATGTGTATATACTGGTCTTTCTGAGGACCCAGATAGTCTGAGAGAAAAAAAAGTTTCAGAGGACCTATGTGTTAGCACTGTGACCTAGCACCCAGGTTATCTATGCATAGTTATTCTAGATTACTTTGTCAGAGACATAGTGAATGGTTAGTCCAGAGTAAGTTTTCTTTAAATTTTCTTTATAAAGCATCTCCTTTCATATGATTTCTTCCTTAAGGGGACGAGGAAGGAAATTATGTTGTTATAAACTTTCTAATAGTACTTTTTCCTTTTAATGAAGAAGAAACTGTGGTTCACTGGGGGCAAGGCTCAAGTGGTAGAGGTTTTCCTGGAAACTAGTGTTAGGTCCTGAGAAGAAGAAACGAAAATGTGGCTCATAGAAACATTGATACAAAGGCTCAAAAACTTTAAAACTGTGTAGAGCTGAGTGTAAGTATAATGAAAGAATTTGTTTACTCAGCAGTAAAACTGAACTTCTTGTTTAAGAGTGTGAAGATGTAAATGTGGGGCTCCTTTGCAAAATGAAACCAACCATCTAATCATGGCAGCTGATTAAGGAGATCAGATTTGGCCTCTTATGGAAAAATTGGAAATGAGCATTTGTAGTTTCCATGGAGATTAACAGCAAAAAGTTATACCTATGAGGTTGGCCCATTGCTCAAGAAGTGGGAGAGGGACAGAATGGAGCCAACCCCAACATTACAGAGAGTGGCTCAAATTTCTGAAGATAATCTTTCAATCAAAGACTGGGGCTTGTGCATTTTCTGATGGTCCTTTTGGAGAGGGGCCTATGATATGGTCTTCAATCCACCTTTAATAAAATTAGAACATACTCAAAGATGCTTTTGAATGTAAATGATGAGACATACAAAGCACACACTCTTATTCACAGAGAAAACACTTCAATAGGCTAGGGAGAAGATAAATGTCAACAGCTAATGTAATTGTCCACTTACTGTACACTAGATAAGATTATTTGCCTCTCAAAATCATTAGATTTTAAAGTTGGTAAACCCCAGCTTTGTTAGAGTTTACCAGACTGTAGTAATGAATAGTGACGAATATATTTGTTGCTTGAGTAACAATTCCGAAGATATATCAAGTCAATGGGGCAAGTGTCCTCCTTGAGATAATTTATGGGCTAGGACTGAAGGAAATCTTGTCATTGTTAATACAGAGATCTCAAAGAGATCCTGCTTTACTGACATCCTATCAGCTAAAAAAGAGCATGAGGAGATAGAGGAATATATAGCCGTTCCAGACAGATCAATTTCACTCATTTCTACTACAGAAAACTTAGTAACATGACCAGGAAGCTTGCCACTTATAGTAAAATGTCCAGGTCAAAAGGGGAGAGCTCCATTACAAATGATTCATTGTACAAATAGTGTCACTCATAACAAGTACTGACACAATAAATGCTACTCCACATTTAAAATGGTAATAGTAGGAACCAGTTAAGATAGTTTTCATGAGGACAGATGCCATTTGTATTATTGTAATGGCACTTGTTGGATGGAAAAAAATCACATATCTGATTTTCTTTCTCTTTTCCAGTGATCTTAGAGGGATGCTCTCCACCGTGTGGACCCTCAGGGTTGGCCCAAGGCCACAGACAGACAGAAGGGGACTCAGAATGCATTCCCATGGACAAGCTCATTCACAAAGGTATGGGGTAAGGGAGCAGTGATGCTGAGGAATGATCAGGTGCAAAAATGAGGCAGAATGACAGAATAAAATTGTGACCAAGCTTCTTTAGTCAGCAACTGACACAAACAACCCCTTCTTTCTAGGACTGTCCAGAATCTCTGTCCCCAGAAGTGCATCAGATGCACATAGGCAGAGGCTCCTAAATGGCATGGATAGGAAGGTTTAAGAAATCCAAGAAAAATGTGGAGACATATTTCCAGAAGAGAATTCTGGGTCAATCTGTGACATAGTCATAGAAACATCTAACAGTATCATGCCCAGTTCCTTATTTTTATCTTTATATCTGTGTATCTATTTAGTTGGCTATCATCTGTTCATATATACATCTACACTGTCTCTCTGTGTGTATAAAAATAAATATGTCCACACAGAATAATTCTTAAAACTTTTACCCCATATGCCTTACTTGCACAATTTCTCATGTTTAACTTAAGTTGATAATAATACTATATAATACTATATAATCTTTAGTGAACCACCACATCCTGGAATTTAACAAGTGTTTACTTTTATTTTTGAGTTTTGAATGGATAAATCTCCTTAATTTGTGTGAGAGGAAAGCCCACAGGTGATAACACTCTGAAAATATACACTCACCTTGTCTGTTTTTGAGTGTCACAGACTCAAGATTATGCCATATCTCCATTCTTTTGTTATTGTGTGATTTCATTCCCCAGAATTCCACAAGTATCAAGAGGATGCTGCTAAGAAACTTGTCATGGTCCCAGCATGGGATCCAGATGCAGAAGAGGAGTCCTCCTCCTCAGTCTATTTCTGTGGTGTCTCCAAATCTCGAGATGATAGTCCTGAGCAATCTGTCATGGTACCATCACAGAATCTAGATGAAGAAGAGGGTTCCTCTGCCTCAGTCTATTTCTGTGGTGTCCTCAAGTCTGCAGAGGATGCTCCTAGGAAATCTGTCATGGTCCCATCATGGAATCCAGATGGAGGAGAGAATTTCTCTGCCTCAGTTTATTTCTGTGGCATTTCTTCTGGAAACAAGATCACTCCTGTTGAGGATGGTAAGAGAGATGCAAAGATGGGCTTTCAGTTTGGGCAGGAGGGTCAGCTGAGCTGATCACGCAGCCCCTATTCTCATCACCTCCCCTCAACTATGGGAAAGGGTGTTGGGGCTGAGGGACTAAGTTAAACTGAGGTCTCTACAAAATGATAGTGGTAATGCCCTTCAAGGACAAGACACGGTTTCTCTTCTCACAGTTCCATGAGAATATTGAGACAGCTAAGGGGGTGGGAGTGGACAGTATTGAGATGGAGTAGGGGCAGGGTGATCAGAGTGGCACAACCTCAAGCTCCCACAATCACATACTGTGCCTCTTCATAGGGCCCAGTACTGCTTCCTTTTCCTTATTCTCTCACACAAACATTTCTTCTCTCTCCATCTGTCTTTACTGTCCACTATTGACGTTTAATAGGCACAAACTTCCACCTGCCTACAGTCTTTATACCTGAATTCAGTTATTCACTGATTCTCACCCAATCCCATGAAAATATCCCCTCACCTAGATAGTGTATTTTAACTCCCAAACTCTCCAACACTAGCCCAAAATGCAGAAAATTCAGATGCGCTAAAGAGGAAGCACTTTTACACACAGATTTTCTCAAACACTTGTCCTTTCATCAGTCATGACTAGAGCCCTTCATAAACCCATACACACTTGCTCTGACATGTAAGTCCTCTAACACTTAAGTCTTACTGTCATATTGCTTAACAAACATGCTTAAGACCATATGTGCTAACTTAATGATGAGACACACACATATATAGTCATCACTGTCCCCTTTCACCAGTACCAGAAACATTAACCCAATATGTACAAGAAAACACCTATAACTCCACAAGACACACCACGAATTCACATCCTTATTGCTGTACTTAACATAACACATATCATGTACAGAAGCTGGAATATCACAAGTATATACCATTCCATCCCACATGCCCACACAAAATTATGCTCTTCAAATTTTTATTTCCTAGAAAGTCACAAATTATGTCCAGGTGCTCCATTTTGTAAATCCCATGGGATGTCCTTAAGACAAAATGTGATGGACCCAGAGTCTTCTTTGCCATTTCCACCAGATTATACTGCTGCATATTTCGATAATCATCCCTGTACAACGTCAGCACCTATGGAATGGGATAGAGTCATGAAAGTTTACTATATGCATGTCCAAATGAAAAAGGGTGTGGCTCTCTTACCAGATACAGAAGGATTGATGCTCCCCCCAAAGAAAATGTGAATAGAAGAGATAATATTTCCTGATAAGGCCCACACAGAAGTCTGCCACTCTTTTGTGCCTACAATTGAGCTCCTGGATGACAGTGAATTCAGCTTGGACAATGAAGCCCAAGAGGAAAGGGAGGAGGCTCACAGCCTCATGGAACTGCTGGTGTCTAAGGAAAGTTCCAGGGCTAGAACACCTGAGTGGCTTGTGGCACTTGACCATGGCTACAGGTGCATGGCCTGCTGTCAGGTCTTCCCCAACTTGGAGACCCTTCGGTATCATGTGGAGCATGGGATCAAGGAGGGCTTCAGCTGTCATGCTTTCCATGACGCCTTTGCCTGCCTAATGGACAAGAACAAGAAGAAGCAAAAGAGAAGGAAGATGAAGACCTTTTTGAAGAAAGATAGACTTATGAAGGAAAAGCTTTGTGACATGCACACATCCATATGAACATAAACATTCTTTTTATCCTCTAAACGACAGAATCAGAACAGACTCTATGGAAAGATCTTGAACTTCTCCAAACTGCCATGATCATACTTGTTCATACAGACTTACCACCATCAGTACAACCTACACACTCCCAGTAGGATCAGAGAGCCCTTTATATTAATACTCATTGCTTTCTGCACAATAAGGAAAAGACAGCAGACTTTGCCAAGGAGAAGAGCAAAATGTCCTGAGACATACTTCAGAACTCTTAACACCAGCATCACATCTTCACTCATTGGGAGTGGAAACTGCTGTGGGCTAGACTTCAGAAGAGGTGAGCACCCCGGGATAGGGTAACACCACCAACACTTGAGATTTGGGCTTCTGAGAAGAGGTGGGACTAGTAGTGGAACACTTCACTGAAATCACGGAGAATTTTCTTCAGAAGAATATGTGCATGATGTGAATGCTTAAAGATGACAAAATAAGGAGAATGCATCCTGCACATGCTGTATGATGGGAGAGGAGCCTGGACCTGTCTAGCAATTCCACAAAGCAGAGGAGGCCCATAGTACCTGGATAAACCATAGGCCTCAGAGCCACTCCCCCACTAGTTTTATTTGATGGCCCACTGGCTCCCTTTAGAGAGGCACAGGACAAGAAACAGGCCTTTGTCCCTGAAGGGAGGGTTTATGTGCAGCACAGTGGGTTGTATTAAGATTCTGATTTCCATTTTGTGATTCTCATGTTTGCTTCAACATTCAAATCTCCACAGCTAATTGAATCACTTTTTTCCCTTCCCTGGGGAAAATTGTCCATGGTGTGTACTACAAACCATGAGTGAAGGTTACTACCTCCAAGGTGTTGAATTTAAAGTAGGAAGGAGAAATAAAAGAGTAAAGGTTTCTCTTCATCTTTAATCATTTCTGAGAAGTTTTAATAGGGTCCATTTCTTGAAGGACCTTTATATCCTTTCAAGAAACCTCATATCTTATTCTTTCCCATCTTATTCTTTCTTTTTGTTATAGCATAAAGTATCTTTTTCTAAGTGACCAGAAGGGTGCAGTTACACACACAACTGCAAAGACTGCACAAATCCAGGTTCATACAACAACAAATGAGACTATGTCTTCTTTAGTTAATAGGCAAACTTTCACATATAATGGTACCTGATTTATACTTAATTTAGTGTACTTTAAAGATGAAATTTAATTTTTGTTTGCTGTTGCCACTCATATCATAGGCACAAAAACAATAAAATGAAAATTTAGAGACAACTATGTAGGAGGAGAAAATTCAAAGAGATAAACATTCAAATAATCATCTCTGTAAAATGTTTTTACAATTTCTAAAATCAGTAAAGCTTAAAACTGCATGGTGATACTGGGACATGTATAGGTACATGTATTTATCTGGAACATGTTTAGTTTTGTATTCTATTCTCTCTGTACATATTTGTGTAGGAAAGACATGTGCACCAGTGTGCACACAAGCTCATAGGGACAAGAGGTGGGTAGTAATCACTTTTGTTTTTATCTGTGAAGCACTTTTTCTTTCCTTCTCTGATAAGAGTGCCACTGTCTTCCCCATTTGTGGAGACAAGTGAGTCAAGGCAGACAAATGAAATCCATTCTTAACTCAGGTTTTTCTTTACTTGGGGGTAAATATTTATGCATCCTGTATACATCTGTACTGAAAGCTTGAGGTAGTGGGAGTTAGTGTGAGGTCACCTGCACACTGATAGGAAATAAAAATTTTTCAAATAAGAATAATTCAGTTATTCTGGAGTGAGAGTTAGCATCCTAACTTTAATAATAGTTACAATAGACTTACTACCTTAGCAATCAGTGGATGTTCATTCTGGGAGCAAAATATAGAAAGAAAAAGAATTGGCCTCACCCAGTTTCATTTCTCTACCCTTTCAGGACCATTCTTACACTAAATAAATAAAGGCAGATCTCTCTTCCTTGTTAATAAAAGAATTGCTCTAATGTTTCTTCAAGTGAGTGTCATACAAGTAAAATTCTGAAAATCCTAAATAAATAGTACCATTCACCTCAACTTCACCTGGAAACTGTTCCCATTTCACCTATTGTAAAGAAGACAGTTTATGAAGAAAACACAGGGTTAGGGATGCTCCTGACACACTAAGAGGGGCAGAGAGATTCAGCATCAAAATTGGTGAGCTACCAATATTCTGGCTTCCCTCGCACACTTGTTTTGAAGGTGAAGGTGAGATTTAATTATCCATGCATGTGTGGAAGAAACCAGGATTACAGTGATTCTCTTATTTTATTTGATATCACAATTTGCCCTCTTGAGAAGTTGTGCATTTTTTCTAGTCTTAGCAATGGAGTTCATTGTCATTTCTCTTCAGAAATTTCCTCAGGAATTCATTTGGCATATTCTCTCCCTATAGATGGTTTATAATATTTTAAGTATCATGAGTTTTCTTCGTATTTCTTGAAATTTCTCAATTTAACATTCAATGAGCTTATCAAATTCACGAATGGGTCCTAAAATGAGCTTATTGTATGTTGATATTTTCCCCTTAATTTGGATTATTCTTTTTTAGTTTGAGAAAGAAACTGAGTGAATGAAATTATGAAACAATTAATCAAAAATATTAGCCATCACAACACTGTGCCTGTGGCATAATATGTGTGACTGTATTTAATCATGAACAGTTTTATTTCTGGTATTTTCTCATACTTATACTTATGAAGCAAAGAAACGATTGGGAAGAAACATTATTTGACACTGAGCCGCATTTCTATCTTTAGTATCTAACTTTTGTTATATCTCTGAAAGGATTTTCAGCATGAAAGGTGGGTTCTAACTTTAAATGCTGACATGCTCATGTGATCCTAAGTATCACAATGCCTACAAAGACGCTGAGGTATTATCCATTCTTTTTGTCTTTAATTTTATCTTCCTATCTGCTTTCTTCCCTTTCATCTTTCATTCATTCCCCTCTTTCATTTTCTCATTCCTCCTCATCTTTTTTCTACACTTTGTTGTTGCTGTTGTCTTGCTTTGTGTTTTGGATTTAAAACAGGGATTTAAATTCAGAGTCTTTTGTTTGTGAAGCAAGTACTATCCATTTTAACCAATCATTTTTTAGTTAAGGTCTCTCATTCCCTCCAGCTTTCCACTCCCCCATGACCTTTCTACATATGCCTCCCTCATTGCTGGAATAATAAGCATGAATGACCATGCTCTGGTTCTTTCCACTAAATTTTTGCCCAAGTTGGGATCAAACTGTGATCCTCCTACCCTTCACTCATGTTATAAAACTGTGTTTCCCTGTAGGTATACATCACAAGTTATAAATTCATTTCTCAGCGATGAGCATGTTGGTAATCATTGTTTTGCCAGTCTGGAGTGGGAATGCAATGGAGAATCATGAACATTTGAGTAATGCTCTGCATTTGTTCCAAACAATAAAGAAGTCATGTATACATAATGGTGTTACATAACATCATATTGTGTTCCAAATGATAGCTCTCTGTTTGGTAAGTAAATTCTAATGTGTTTGAACACTGATGATAATGCCAAAAAATCTATAAGTACATATCTTTATTCCAATGCACAAGTAAATATTTTTTAATATTTGTTTAAATATGGAGTGATGGAGATATTGGGTTATATGATGATTGTACATTTAACCGTTTAAAGTATCCAAACCATTTTTGAACATCTCTCTTTTTTACTATCCCTTATCTCATATTATTTGTCCAAATTAAGAAGCTATTCTAAAGATACCAGGTAGATATTTCACAATAATGTATGATACTGATACACTTGCATATTTGCTACTTCACTTAAAATTTCATGTAAAATGTGTTGCATCCTTTAGCTTGAGAAGTGAATCAGATTATGCTTCTAATTTGCATGTCGTTATGGGTGATTGAGAAACTTTTAGGGCCATATGACAATTTATGTATTTATTATATAAAATATCTTTTGAAAGTTATTGCTCACTCTCTGTGTGTTGCACTTTTTTCTGACCTGTAAAATTTGTTTGTATATTCTGAGAACTTTATTCTTATAAAAATTTGTTATTCAATGTCTATTCTCTCTGTGCCTCTCTTATTTCAATAAACCTTGCATGTCACAATTAACTAAACCATGTCAGCAACTCATGCAAACTTTTCATAATGTTGGATATCTCAGGAATATCTGAAAGGAAACATGTTAAAAAGATACTTTATTGGTCATGTATAGTAAGAAAAAATTTAAAAGTACTATAAAGGCCAATTCAAAAACTGATGCAGCAATACTACTCCTAGAGATATACCAGAAGGAATGTAAGTCTGGATACCATAAAACTTCCACACCAATGTTTATTGCAGCACTGTTCACATTAGTTCACAATAGCCACAATATAAAAGACAAGCAGATGCCCTACAACTGATGAATGGATTAAGACTATGTGATATATATATATGTGTGTGTACATATATATTTATATATATATATATAAAACATACACCCACAAACATATATATAATGGAGTTTTATTTAGCCATATGGGAAAGTGAAACCAGGTATTTGGTAGATAAGCAGAAAAAAATAGCAGTACATCATGTTAAGAGAAATGACCCAGCCTTAGAAAGACAAAGGCCACAAAATTTTTTTCTCAGATGAGAGAGATAGACATAAATATAAGCAATATTATGAAAAACAGATTATGCTAATGGGAGGTCACCAACAGGATATGGGAACGTAAAGGAAGAAAGTTAGTAAGGTGAATATGGTTGCTGTACTTTGTATAACAGAATGAATATAGACTATTTAAACCTGTTGAAATCATCATAGGAAAAGTCCAGGGTAGTAAGGAGAAAAACTAGAGGGCATGAACAAATTTGGATTATAGTAGTTATACATGGAAATATCATAAGGAAACTCCTTATATGGTATCTTAAACAAAAATCACTCTTTTTAAATTGAAGAACAGGAAGGTAAAACAGCTCCCTGTCTGTGGTCGGTCCAGTGGGAGGATGGAGGACATAAGG